TTGGGGAGGAGAACTTTATACAGAAATATATTTTGCACCTTTTATAAGCTCATTGTAAACATATTGTTTGGGCTTCTCCAAGGCCCTTGGAAGGAGTTCATGCAAATGAGGAGCCTTGAGCCTTCACTAACCTCAAGGTAAGTCTATTTGTTAAACAAATAAACAATGATAGGCTTCAGTTTCTATGAGTAAAATCTCTAATATTTTAGAGAATGTAGTGAAATCTAGATGAAATGTGGGCTCATAGTATGGTTTCACTCCACGTACTCCTGTAATGTGATTTGGTCAGCTTCAGTCAATGTGAAACTTAACATGGTAATGACAGTCATAATTATATTAAGAGCATATTAGCCTTATAATTACATAATGCATGTTATCCACTGACTTCAACATTTTGCAAAAAGCACTTTACAAAACATTTAATGTCACCACATCGATATGAAACAGCTAAATGTCATCATTTGTCATTTTGCAAGTGGGTGAACTGAGAAACCCACTGAAGAACCACCATTAAAATATATTATAATTTTTATACTGACCACGAAATTACTAATCTGGAATACAGACATAATTTCCTTTTCCTCAAAATCTGCAAAATACCTTGCCCACTTTTTTCATCATAATTTTTAATAAAAAAAGCCATGATAATAGAGAAAGAATTCAGGCAATAAAATTAGTTTATGTGAACTAGCAAAAATGTACCTCTGATGTGAATATGCCAAATGTATAATGTACCTTGGTGAGGGAAAGATATTATCTTTTTGTCTTTAACTAATAAATCATTTAACTATTAAACTTTCTCAAAAAGTAAACAAATAATTTGCAATTTTACTTCAAGTCACCTAAAACTGTTTTAGTCCAAAGTTTCATAAAATAATTCTTAGCTTATAGCTCCTATATAAAAAAGAAGAAAAACATTAGAAACATTAGAGTCTAAAAATAATGATAATATTTATTAATTAGTATATCTCCCTTTTTCCTATCTACCGGAACTTCCTATTTTTACCCTTTTGGTTCTGAAGTGTCACACAACCTTCATTTCTTATCTTATCAATGTCAGAAAAAACATATGCTTGTTTATGAGAAATGAATTTTGTAAATAGGATTATGAAAATTATGTAAAAATGTGGGGAGGGTCCAGGCAGTCGTCACATGATTCTATCTTTGATAAAGAAAAAGCTTGGGGTGAAACCCATGCTTATAGCCTCTGCAGTTTGGGACACCATAACCTGGCCACAGGCGTGTAAGCCATGAAAAGCATCAAGCAGACAAGGGGTTTTGGCACACCCCAATGGCTGAGCCAAGTGTGCCAAGCCAATAATCTCTAAATAAATCATCAGGTAAATACATGACTGCGTCAAGTTTACCTGTGTGTAAAGGAATGCCTCCATGTGAATCAGCACATTCAGAGAGAATCTAAAGAAATTTACTAGATATGGACAGGTCTAACTTATGCAAAATACCTCAATCAAAAATTTTTAAATAACTTTATAATACCATGTCCACTTTATACATCCATACATTTCATCCAACAGTGAGATTCCTTCTCCCTGTAATGAAAATTCCCAGTTGTGAAACTGAAATTTTAAACCATTAGCTTGTTTGAGAGTAACCCAGTGTGTCTACTTTTCCTAAAATTCTTGTACAGTACTCATTTTGGCCTCCCTAATAATGCCAAGAGGAGTTATTAAACTTAATAAATTTTTGCTGTGAACATCAGAAATTTTCTTTTTTAAATAATGTTGAAAAACATTAGAGAGTCACACTGTTTCTCTCACTTGCTAAAACTCCTCAATAGGGTTCACAAAAGCTTTCAGAGGTAGATTTTTATATTATCAAATGTCAATTCAGGCCTGTTAAATACAGTGAACAAACTTGCCTGCTACAGCAAGCATTTCACCCAAATTGACTAGGTGTGACTTTTATTCATTGTTCAGTCACACTGAACAGAATCTGTTCTCTACCTACCATCCCATTTAGGCTGACATTCCCTTTATCTGAGGGCTTATAATAAGCAAACCATACTCAGTTTTCTAAAGGCAGATGTGCTCTTCTGGTATCCTTGAAACAGATCAAAGTATGTTTTATGAAAAGTCCTGAAGTTCAAGCCATGATATCAAGTAGGTTTTAATATGTAACCATACAAACATTAGGACTGAAAATTTAAACAAAAGCTTGACTATTTTCGAGAAAATATTCAGATTATGGAGGGTGTTAAAAGGGAAAGAGAATTGTTTGGGGAGAGTAGGTACCAAAGAAACTAAGTAATCATATGTTACTTTTATAGTAATATCAAGATCCATAATAAAGAACATTTCTTTCAAATCAGACTAGTAAATGTCACTTAAAATTGTCACTATCTCAATTTCAACATGCCTACAAAGCAGCTTTCTAGACCTCAAAACAGGATCATATCAACCATTGTGGGGTTAATTTTTTTACACGATATAACTGCAAAAAATAATGTTTTATCAGTTTATCACACCACAACAGCTATTGTTAAATAATCTACAAGTTAGAAAAGCAATTTCCAATTGTTCCCTGGGGTCTTCTAAGTAATGTCTTGTATTTTGTGATATGCTATAAAATAAACTTCTACTGTGTGTCATGTTCTAAAGCCCGAAATCTAAAATTATACTTACTGAAGAAATAAGGGAAATGTATTCTATTATACAAAGCATTAAGAGTCAAATTAGAAGTCACAGAGGTCAGAAAACTCAATGTATCTTTTATAAGACTTTAAAAAAGCTGGGTCACACTGGGGAATAGGGAGTAGTTTTTTCAGAGTCTAATAAGAGACTCTATTGGAGTCTGAATAGAAAATGAATAGTCAGCCTTCTGTCTTTATCCCTACTTTACCCTAGGTCTTGCTCTGATTCCCTGAAACAGGACATTTGATTGCTATTCTGATGCTGTCCCTTGACTTGTGAAAAGACATATACTCCAACTCCATAGGAAAAGCTGGCTCAAGAGTGTGATAAAATCTGGCTCCTGTTCCTTCCTCAGTCTGAAATTGGGACATCCCACAAGAGGCTGAGAAGTGGTAAGGATGGTGAACTCCCTTGATTTATTCCCCATCTACTTACATTTTCTGGACTCATTGAGCACATTCAATTTTCTGGTTTTTTTTGTTGTTGTTGTTGTTTGTTTTTTTTTTAATCCTGTTTTAGTAACTAGTAGACTTTCTTTTCCCTACCCCTTTAGAAGTAAAAAGAAATTGAAATATTTCAGTGTGTGAAAGCCTAGGAAACAGTTTGAAGGAGTTCAACCATGTAAAGTAATCCTGAAGGCAAAAGGGGAACTATGAGGAGCTCACTGGTGAGCTTCTAGCAACTATTTTATAATATAATTAATCAACAGTGAATTCCAAGGCAAATCTTTTTTTTTTTTTTGGCATACTAATAGTATAGAACATAAAATCTGTGTTGTTTTTTGTTGTTGTTGTTGTTGTTGTTGTTTTACTTAAATTTGTCTAGACATTCTGGGAAATGAAAATTGTACTACAAAATTTTAGTGGCTCATCAATGTCCTCACCACCTGTTTTGTGCATTATCTATACATATAGACTAGTTAAGGGGTGCCCAATCTACACATATCTCCTTGAATTGTGAGAATCAACTTTATAATGGGATAGTCAATCCATTCTCAGCACCCACATTTTCATTGTATTTAAATGCTATATACATCTTTCAGTGCATTTATTACTTAGTCGCTGATGAAATAGATAACAAATAAAGATAACATAACTCTTTCAAATTAGTATCTCGTTAAAGATTTAAAGCAAGTAGGACAGCTGAAATTAGAATGAAACACTACTGAACTAAATTTAAGACCTGGTAAATTCAGTAGAAAAGGGAGTTTTCAATTACCTCTGAAAGACCAAACTGCACCTTAATATTTTAAGGTAGCAAAACAAGATGAATTCTCAATAGGAAAAATTGCTTTTTAAATAATCTAAGTTCACTGAACCATAAAAATAGTAGATACTGGTCTAGAATGACACCATAATCTTATTAATTTCTGCAAAGGTTAAATTAATACCACTGTAAAATATCTGACCAGTATTTCTCAAGCCTTTCAAGGTTGTAGAAAACAGGGAAAGACTGAAAAATGGTCACAGACCAGAGGAGAGAGGGGAAACATATTCAAATAAATGCACTGTGGTACCTTGGATGAGACACTGGAACAGAAAGAGTACACGAATGATGAAATCTGAATAAAGTCTGGAAATTAGTTAATAGGAATGTGTAAATGTCAGTTTCTTAGTTTTGATGAGACCATGGAAATGTATTAACAGAGGGTGAAACTGGGTGAGAGATAATATGGTAACTCTTTGTACTATCTTCGCAATTTTTCTTTAAATATAAAATTATTTCAAAATAAAAAGTAACAATAAAACCACCATCAAAAACTGTTTCTATTAATATGCTAGAATTTACAGATTCACATCATTTAATAATAATCAAACATTCTCCTTATCTTAAAATGCCCCTGTTCCTTTGTTAATATTCTATAAATTGAATTCATGCTTAAATACAACCCAGATTTTAAGTCAAACACTCCTATCCAGCTGGTGTGGCTCAGTAGCTGAGCGTCGACCCATGCACCAAGAGGTCACCAGTTTGATTCCTGGTCAGGGCACATGCCCAGGTTGTGAGCCCGATCCCCAGTGGGGGGCATGTAGGAGGAGGCCAATCGATGTTCTCTCTCATTGATGTTTCTATCTCTCTCTCCCTCTCTTTTCCTCTCTCTCTAAAATCAATAAAGAAAAACAAATTAAATAAATAAATAAAATCAAACACTCCTGATTGCTCCCTTCACATTCAGGACAGCATTGTAGTATCAATTAATATATTAGTGTGTGTCCTAAATCCTTCTGTAACTAACTTCCTAAAGGCCCTGCAAGGTTATTCCAATATATATATTTTTATATACGTATATATTCTTTTTAAAATAAGGCACTCAATACACAGTTTTTCAAAGACAATGCTGTGACTTACAAGTGATGACATTTGAGCATTTTGGAGCATAAACTGCATCTGCTGGGAAAACATGGCTGTGGTAGTCTTTTGTTGAATCAGATTGTTCCGTCCATTAATTTCCAGCTGTGTTTTTAAGTGTGGAGGAGGGTGAAGGTACTTGCAGTTCTCTCTAGCACACCGACCCTAAAAATGAAGAATTAGGCTAATTTTCATTAATATTTCTAAAAATATGATATGGTTAGGAATAAAGTATATTAAACAATCAAGAAAATTAAGAAAAAATTGTTAAATTTTCCCTCAATTGAGGGGTGGAGAAAAATATATAAATATACTATATACACATAAATATATTTTCTAAAGTTTAGACCCATTATTCTGGACATTTTGGGGTCTAAAGTTCTTTTTCCTGAATCTATATAATGTAAGATAAATCCTGAAATCCACTGACATACTGTTAACCATAGAATAAATCTCTACACCTGGCAGCCATGTTATTCTTTAGGTTCCAGAGGCAATGGCTCTAGATCACTTGGATAATTGAGATCAAAGTTTATTTTGGAGTCACAGCTACTTGGATGTTTTATTGATGATTTAGGCATTTCCAACAGAACAGTATGTCAGTCTTGTGGAATCAAGTGTCTTTGGTGTTGCCTAAATGTTGACATGGCTACTGAGTATGGTGTTGTTATGTGGTGGCAAAACTGGACAGATATTTACTACATTGTCAAGTGTGGCCTGTTGTTGTGTTTAACTCGTGAGCATTATATAAAGCATTTATATAATAATAATAATAATAATAATAATCATTTACATTATTAGGTTCACCATAATTCTTTTACGACAAGCAAAACTGCAAGCAATTTACCCCCTAAAGATGCTAGAGAGGGATGAAGAAAAAAAGGCAATTTTTTTGTTTTGATCCAAGAATACAAGTTGCTAGGCCTCCTGAATTCCCAGGAGAAAATGAGTTAGTTCATCAAGTGTTTTGAACATTTCCTTATTTATGATATCTAAATGGTTTACATAATCGCTTCTCCATAATTGGTTATTTTGTTACTAAAGCATTCCTATTTCACTGAGAATCAAGTTGTCTCCTTCAAAACTTTATACAGCTATGTATAATGCAAAACCAGATGCACTGCAACTCTTTTAAATATTACATAATTAGGACAAGGTGGCTCTATTATTTTACTTCCCCTGACAAGAAGATGAGTACAACTTAATACATAGCTTGAGAAATTAAAGGTTTAACTATTGTTTTCTGTTAGGTTTTTCCTTTTATTTCTTCCATTGATCAATTTACTTTTATTCAAATTAAATGATTTATAAAATCAAATAATATCTTAGTTTAATTGTACCTTTACATTTCTCTGCAAGACCTGGAAAAGGAACAATTTATTAGTAGTAAGAGTTGAGAATGGGATTAACCTAATCTTCCTAAATTCATAAAAGTAGCCTAAGAATAGCTATATAATTTCAGCACATATAAGAGCTGTAAGAAAAATTTTATGTGTGCTAAAAATCACAATAATGAAGATTTTTCCCCATTAATATGCCTCCCAACAGATAACATGAGCTTCTCTTTATACTTACCACAACCTGCACCAAGGTAAAGACTGTCACACAGATTTTAGTCCCTAGATTCTTCAGTTTCAACACAGCATAACTGAGGTTATCTGGCTCAGAAAGCAGTGATACTTGGTGGCTTCCACAGCAAAGCATGCTATTTTATATTTCAGCATTTCTCTTCTTCCCACAGTCTAACATTCAAGATTTCCCCAAAGTTTGGTCCTAAATCCTTTGCTCTCCTCTCTAATCTCTTTTCCCTTGAGAAACTGGAATTCTTGCAAAATTTTATATATTGCAGTAATTGCTCAGATCTTAAATCTCTATGTGACTCCTCTTTTGAACTTCAGTCCTTTTTATCACTAATTGCAGCATCATTTGGAAATTCTGCCCCCTACCAGGTCTAAAGAACTTACTCCTGACCTTTCTTCCCCTTACAATATTTTCTCCTTTACTGCATACTCACATTTAGGACCCTTGCTCAAATCCCCATACTTTAGGACAGTTACATAGCAGCAATGAAAAAAGAAATTAAGCAATTGATGAGCAGGATTGCTTTAGAATTGTAAACTTATCGTGACAGCTTTCCCAGACAAGTGGCAAACACAACAATGGACATTTATACAGAACACAATATGTAAACCCTCCTCCAAAAAAAAAGCTGCATATTGAGGACTGTATCTTATACTCAGAAATTAGAAACAATAGATTATTTTTTTAAAAAGCAAAAGAAATACATTAGGATTTTAACATTTGTTACAATTTAGAGTTTTAACATCATTTGCATTGAATGCAATCAAGAGAGGGGGGAGAAAGGAAAGGAGAGAGAAAACGGGGTATTTAGCACATGTCCTGCCAATCTACAGATAAAGAATTACTACCTGCCTTTGTGCTTTTATGTGATTATCTTTAACATATAATTACTTTTCTTAAGCTTTTTCAAAATATATGTTTTTATGGATTTTTTTTTAGAGAGAGAGGAGGGGAGAGAGAGAAACATCGATGTGAGAGAAAAACATCAATCGGATGCCTCCTGCATGCCCCCCAGTGGGGATCAAGCCAGAATCCTGGCATGTGCCCTGACCAGAAGTCCAACTGGGACCTCTAAGTCCAGGGGAAGATGCTTAATCCACTGAGCCACATCACCCAGGCTCTTAAGCTTTTATCCTGGAAAACTAATGACATTTTTTTTAACAAAGCAAAACAGTATACAGAAATAGGATAAAAGAAAGAATTGTTCTTTAAAAATTACATCAAGTTGGGATTTAAAACTAAACTATGAAATATGAGGCACCATGATATTAAAAATATATATATACATCTTATGATATTTTACTTGATTTAGAAACGATTCTCTTTTGAATGACAGAATCCATAATTTAATTCTATAGCAATGCTGGTACACAGCAATAGTACCTTACCAGAGACTTTTGATTATGTTAAAAAAAAAAGTTTATACAAAACAAAAATATCTGCATTTTCTACCTAAGCAGTAGATGAGAAGAGCAAATAATTTAATATGAATGTTATCTGTGGAACACAATATTTCAAAAGAAAACCAAACCCCTTATTTATTTAAAAAACTACTTTAGAACTCAGAAAAATATATTTATATTCACATTTGATATTAATAAATCTACTCTGTATAGTATTCATTCTTCAAGAGACACAGAGTTAATTATATATCAAAATATTTTAATTGGAGTTTGGAGGGAGGGGGCAAACCTTTTTTGACATTGGCTAATATTTGCTTTTAATCCTCATAGGGAATTAAGACTTTTTGGTAAGCATGTTTGAATGATAGGGTGGAGGCAGGGAAAAGACTGCCCAGCACAATATATAACCACCTATTGTTTTTGTTCTTTTAAAAATAAAAGTCTATGAACTAGAAAGGTTTCCTAAGACTAGCTAAGCACTCTGAATGTGTCATAAAATATCCTTTCACACTGGATCTATGAAAGCCCAGAAAGGTTCTTGGTCTGAAAAAAAAAAAAGTCACCCCTCAGGTTTCCCAAGCCAAGTCAATAGTGCTCCATGTCCTCTTTCTAGACCCCCAGGTTCAGAGTTTCCATGTGCTCAGTGCAAAGTATTAGATGATGTCATAAACCATTACAAATGTTGTGTCTATGATAGTCACCATCTACTGGCAGAGCTGGCTATATCCTAAAAATAGTAGCAAAAATTAGTTAAGTCATGAAAATCTCTTTCTCCTTCCCCTACACATACACATGAAAAAATTTAAAAAGTATTGAAGGGATTAGAGCACAGACATTTATGCTAGCCTTACTTTTTCTACTTCTTTTGGCCTTAAAAACAAATCATTGTCATCTAGCCTTTCACTATGTAACTGACTTAAGAAAATAACAAAGTGATTAAATAGGAAAGTGATTCTCTGCTGAAATAAGTGCTACTACACCTATAGATCTTCCAGATTCCCTCTCTTATCTACTCTTTTTGAAAATGCATCCAAAAAAGCAGCAGGGGAAGAAAATGGTCAATTAAATTTCTAAAATGCATCTGCATCAAAAAGTTGATGTCAGACACAAAAAAAAGCTGCAGAGTATTTATGAAACTTCCAAAATTCAATCTATTTTTCCCTACCCCCAAGCTTTTCAAAAATGAGTACAAAGCTTTTGATTTAAGAGAGAAAACAGCATTGTAGAGATTCAAATTCCACCTAAGTCTTGGGAACTAACTATGCGATATTGTCAGATACAAGGGTTACCATATACTTGGTTGTAGAAAAACCCTGTGAAATATACTTTCTCATGAGAGAAAGTTCTACCGTCAATCAGAATAAGAAAAGGACCCTATGAAGCTGATAATTAGACTTTGTCACCCACTGTATCTTAACAGAAACACATGTTTGCAAAATGACTTGCTTCTTCAAATACATTCTGAATTATGGGGGAAAATTCTCCTCCTAAATAGAATAACTAAATTACATTTTCAAAGATATCTCACTGCTCTGCTAGCCTACCAAAAGTTAAAAGTTAAATAAGGTAATGAATCGATGATTTGTTCTATGAAAAAAATGTTATTCTATTTAAATGGTCATCTACTAAAAAGAAATATTGGACCAGGGTAGACCCAGAGACATGGAAGTAGGGTACAGACTGACAATCCTCGGAAGAGAGGGTGGGGGGAGGGAAGAGAGAAACCACAGAACTTATATGCATGTACGCATAACCGATGGACATGGACAACAAAGCCAAGGACGGGGTGGGGGGGATGGGGAGGAAGGTGTCAATGAGGAGAAAAAGAGAAACATCTGTAACAAAAATAAATTAATTTAAAAAAGCAAAAAAGAAATGTAAAAAAAAAAATCTTATTGATTTTATATTACCCCACTGAAACCTACGTACATGCTTAGACATGGCCTCTCAAAGGATGTACCAGCAATTTTAAAATTACAAATCATATGTACTAGGTTGCTGGGTTCCTAAAACCACTGTAGACTTATTAAAAGTTAGAAACACTATGAAAGAGCTAAAAGTGAGGCATATCAACATAGACTGAATATTAGCCAGATGTCAGCATACTAATGACAAATTCCCACTTTCTTCCTTTTAGAGTTCTATCTTTAAAAAACAAATATAATCTATGTTATTTTCTCC